CAACCATCTTCCTTTCTTTTCACCCTCCTTCATTCTTACCAGTCTTATTTCCTTGCTTCCTTGGTTTCATCCTTTTGTTTTCCTCCTTTTATGCACCCTTCCCTTTGTCTGTTCTTTTTTCTTTAATTCGTCCTTTTTCTTTTTACTTCTGCCTTCCTTACACCCTCCCTTCCTTTCTTTCTTTTTTCTTTCTCGACCTACTTCATCTTGCCATTCTTTCTTTCTCATGCCATTTCTCTTGCCATTTCTTTTCATTGTTTTATCCTTTCTTCCTTTTGTGTGTTCTTTTATTCTTTGTTTCCCTTTCATCCTTCCTTTTTCTTTTGACTCTTTTGTTCCCTCCTTCCTTTATCTTATCCCTCTTTAGTTCCTCCATCCTCCTTTTCATTCATTCCTTTCCTCTCTGTCCTTCCTTTCTTCTTTCTCTGCCTCCTTTATTCTTACCAGTCTTCCTACCTTACCATCCCATTCTTGCCCATGCTTTAACCATCAGGTAGCCTACATTTCCTCATTTTCTCCCCGTGTTCCTATTTCTATTCCTTTATTCTCTTTATTCCCTTTCATCTTTCATTTTCACTTCTTCCCTCTCATCTTCCATCACTCTTCTTATCCCTCTTTCATTTATACAATTCTTCCTTCCTTAATTCCTTAGTTTCCTTTCCTCATTTTGTCTTCTTTTTAGTCCTCCTTTCTTCTTCTCAACTCTCTTCAGTTTCTTCATCCTTGCTCTTTTCTCTCATTCCCTCCCTTCACCTCCTCCATCCCCATCCCTTCCTCTGTCTCACCTTCACACCATCCTAAACCTGTTTCCGCATCACTCCACCGTCATGTCCTTGCTACGCTCCACGTATTTAACCGCAGCATGTAAATCAGATCCATCACACTTTTATTGGTTCTGTCTTAAATCCTAAATGAGCTGGAGACAAGGAGACAGACGGAGGAGATGAATGGGTTTGCTGGGCAGCGCCGTAACTTCCTCAAGGTCGATGCTGTAGTTTCCCCCACATCAGAGGAGCTGCCAGCTGTAATGAGGCCCGAGTCTATCAGGAAAAAGAGCTGGAAATTAAACCAATAATCATTTTCACTTCAGCATCTCCTGCCAGGAAATGCCTCCAGTTTGTCTCTTTTGATTTACTTCCTTGTGTGGAGTTTGGTGTTGTGTACTCAAGTTTCCTTGAAACAGTTAAGTAATCTGGGGTAACTACAGTCATAAAAAATCTGGAAAAGTCATGGAATTTCACAATCATATTTTCCAGGCCTGGAAAAGCCATGGAATAAATAAAAAACAATATTGAAGGTTTTGAAAAAGTCATGGACCTTTGTTGTATGTTATGAAATTTTCTGCAGTTGTTGATGTAATGCAACTCTAATGAGCATTGATGTGTGAGGCTTTGTTTTCCATCATGCACGTTTTTCCATTTTCTCTCTCTGCATTTTGTTTCTCCCTATCATGTATGCCCACTAACTGAATTTACGTTGGAATTGGATATGTTTGAAAAATGCTAGGCAAGTGGGGGAAGAAATTGAAAAGAAAATTGTTATGGGTCCTGGAAAGTCATGGAAAAGTTTTCAAATGTTATCCATCAATGTGTTTGGGAACCCTGGTAAACTGACCCTATGTGTAGGGAGAATGGAGATGTTGTTCATTGCTAAACCCACTATTAAAGCCACCAACTTAATCTGATAAATTGTCAATTAATCAATCAATAGTTTATTTGTTACAACTCCAGTGAAATTAGATTCATCAGCTCTTTTAACTTGTGCTCTGTCATGTAGTCCTTTTTTGCATCTTCTTACATTGATGGCTGCTGATTTAGTTTCGGATGGTTATCCATGGTTTCTAGTTGTGGAACTGTCCACACGTCACGACCAAAACAAGAAGGCCGTATGGTCGCTCCTCCCACACACAGACTGTGCTGTACTGCAGCAACCTCTGAACAGTGTATAGCAGTGATCCACAGCAGGAACAGGACAGCACCTCACATTCCCACTGTCACACCAGTCTTTGTTTACCATAAAGTACACACCTCATCGCCATATTGAATGGCACTGTCCAGGATTTAGCCAAGTTTTAGTGAATCAAATGATATTACAGTTCCTGATATCCCACTCGAAACTGATGTGGCATGGAGGTCATCCAGGTTATTTTCTAACACCTGTATAATGGCTAGCAGGATGCTAGTTCAGCTGATGTTCATCTTCTTCATCTTTCTTCGATGTTTACTAGGGCTGTACCTGATTTACAGTTATGTCAGTCAAATCAGATTCAGTTTTTTAATACTCTTCTAGGTTTTGTTTTTGTTTTTTTCCATACAATGCTATAAAGTTTGATTGGGGTTCACCAGGATGTTCAGTGTGACAGCAGCAATCATATCGTGTAATAAACAAGCCAACAGTACCGACAACAGATTGGAAATGTCAGTTTTTGCCGGCGCAAGATATCAAACAAAAGCCAGAGATTGTGTCATATTAAGTATCCTTTGGTGTTTTCCTACAATATTTGGCATGTTGGAGACGGACTGCTGGCCCAGGACCTGCTGATCTGTGCTCTGTTTTTTTCTCTGATAACTAAAAACCTCCTGAATATTTAGCTCTTTACTTGGAGCCAAATTACCCACAGAGGTCTCTTCCTCTACAAAACAAGTAAACGATTAAAACTAGTAAAAACATTGAATAAAGCTTTTTCACCTTTAAAAAAAAAAAAAAAATTTCCCAGTGTTACTCTTCACTGAGGGGCTGCTAGCTACAGTTGCTGACAAGAAAATATCAGTGTCCCTATCTGGAGCCAGTGTTTGGTTTGTCCGTTCTAGGCTACTGTAGAAACATGGTGGTACAACATGGCAATCTCCATAGATGAGGATCTGCTACCTATGTAGATATAAACTGCTCATTCTAAGGCAACAAAAAACAATCATTCTTATTTTCAGGTGATTATACACTAAAGAAAACATACTTATTGTATTATATTCGATTTCTGCCAATATATCTCGCTACATCCTACACACTGGACCTTTACACACCATCCTCTTCCTTCCACTCCTTTGTTTCATGTCTTTTTATATTATCCCTGTCATTTCTGATTATTGTACGTGTTGTGTGTCTAAATCACTCCTGTTGAGAGTGACTGGATGTCGAGGTATAAAGTGAAGACGTAATTACGTTTCAGAGAGAAGACGAAACTGTAGCAGCTTTGAAGAAATATATCAAAGAACATCACAGACACACACACACACACACACACACACACTTTATTAGAGTATCATATATAAAGACACTCTGGGTGAACATTGTGCGTTGATCAGAGCCTCTTCTGGCTGTTCTTGCATTGTGTTAGTGTTATTTGGTCGAAGCAGCGTAGTGTGGAGTCCTGCTGACCTTCAGCTGCTTCATCTGTTCGGTTTCTGTCTTCAAGCTGAGTCACAACGTGAAACTCTTGTAAAATGGGTGTCTGACAACCTGCATTTTAAATGTCAATGTTATAATGTGATAATTGTGTTTTATATCACATAATTCAACCATTTATTAGAGCATATTCTCACCTGACTCACAGGTCATACTGGAAACTTGCTGTGTAGTGGAAAACTGGTTTAGTACAGCTGGTTCAAACTGGTCCAGTTTGCAAAGATTTAAGCAGGGCTTGACAGTAATGTTTGGCAGGTTGCCATTGTTTACCCTTTGAGAAACTGGCAACCAATTTTTTGTCGCAACCACTTCTGACATATAAAAGATAGGGACAGCAAACGTCAAAGTTTGCACCCCAAAATAGGCATTAATAATGTTTGCCTACGTGCCAGTGACAGCCGTAGCCAGAGGCATCATGTTTTTGGGTTGTCACGCCACAAAGCAACTCCTCCCTCCATCCATTCAAGGATTGGTAATGTAACAACTGGGCATAGCGTTATTACAGTTGTATGGGCTAAGCAAGACTGTTTAACTTTGCCAATTGTGATTTAGTGTTCATTGAGTTATTGTTGTGATTGTTGCAGTTAGGTTATTGGTTAGTTGGCTTCATGAAAGCTAAGTGAAGTTAGTTTGCTAATGCTTTTCACAGACAGAGTCTTGCATGTAATTAAACATCCTCTGCACTAATCCAGACCCTTTGCAACACATATCACATTCACATAGACTCACTAACAAATTGCCTCTCAACAGAGCTACACCCAAAGACGCAACTCAAAGTTATTTTCTTTTGTCTTTGTTCTGACCACACGGTCAGACAAGACCTCCCCCGATCTAAAGCCAACTTTGATTTGGCCATCTTGTAGTTCTCTGTTGTCAGCCATTTTGTTTTGTAGGCCAAACACCTGCCTTAGCTCTCTCTCTCTCTCTCTCTCTCTCTCTCTCTCTCTCTCTCTCTCTCTCTCTCTCTCTCTCTCTCTCTCTGTCTCTCTCTCTCTCTGTCTCTCTGTCTTTCTCTCTCTCTCTGTGTTTTGTTTTGCTTTGCTGTCTTTATGAATTGCATCTTGCATAACTTTTTAGATCAGGTTGCAGAGGTTTTAGGGATATGAAGCACCTCTTCAAGTGGACCCAGCTGTGGGTAGGCATACCATACCCGGGTACTGTCCTCAGTGTTCACATTAATTGAACAAACTGGGCTTTGGGTTGAGTCTGTCCAGCTCCAGGCCCCTGATGTGAAATCCTCCAGAGTCTCTACTGACACATCAGTGACTCCACTTGTTGCCATTTGTTTCCATATCAGTTGTTGTTGTTTGTTTTGCTGCCTTGAGCTTTTGTTTTCATCTCATCTGCACTAATTTTCTCTGTGATGTTTCTCACCTCTGATGTTGTTCAGGTTTCTGTGTTGTTTGGTTTGTTGCTGCATGTTTGCTTTTATAAACCCCTCCGAGGGTTTTTGTGTCTCCACTGCACATATTTGTTGTTTTTATTATCTCCTGTCTTCTTTTCTCTACCACCCACTATTGTTTGTTTTCTCACTATAAAGGACTGAATCAAACTAAAGTGTGTGTCTGCGTGGGTGTCTCTTTGTGTTTTTTTTGCAGGACCTATGCACTGCGGCGGGTGCGTGATGCCTTCAGGGCCAACAAGAAAGTGGAGGATCCAAAAACTGTGGAGAGACTGATGCTGGAGGGACAGCAGACACTGGCACTGATACAGAGACAGGTAAAACACACACACACAAACACAGCCTCCCATCAGATCTCTTCTGCATTTATATCTTTACGGATAAATTTTATATTTCTGCAAATATTCTGACTGACAGTTGACTCTGAAGATTGAGTCCAAACTTTAATGATCAGATTTACATACTACTGACAGGAGACGGTCAGAATGATATAACTGATGGCAGAGCTGTTATATTTATGCTGCACATTTCTTAAAGAAAAGATAAAACTGTGAGTAGATCGAAAAGATAAAACTGTGAGTAGATCAAAAAGAAGCCAAACATGAGGAAAAAGATGTAAAAAGACCGAATGGGATCCTGATGATGGCGCTGGATGAAGAGTCAGAGGATCAGCAGAGTTATTACAATTCATCTTGAAGGGAACATGATTTTCTGAACCATATTTCATCACAATCCTTCCAATAGATGTTGAGATGTTTCAGTCTGGATGAAAGAGGTAGATCAATAGACCAGTATTAGCATCCATAAAACCAGGGTTGGAAATGCAGGGAGTGGCGTGGAGCTTAGATTCTTTGAAAGCCTCATGTGAGAAATTTAGGAGGAACTTGGTGTTGCTGTTTTATTTTGTATGAATGTATATTTTCCTGTATATTTAGCTTCCTAGTGTAAGTAATAGGCTAATAGTGAAACACTTATCAACATGTACTGTATGTTTGTTTGCACAGAACAGTTTCTGATAACTTGTGTCTTATAATGCTTTATATAATATATAAATATTATATAATGCTTACATATGCTTTTTTTCCTGCTGTGGCCGTTCATGCATGAGGGCACACTCAACGCACGTTACCTACTGTATGGTGGTGTGTTCATGATAGCTGGCATGTGTTGGCTTTTTGTATCACGTGTCCTAAAATTAAAACGTCAACAGCCAAAATGTCCAGTGACAAATATGCCAAATAAATATATACATTTATTAATATGAAATATATGATACTGAACTTTTTTTTTTTTTTTTTTTTTTCCTTCTTTACCAATGGATCTGTTTAACCCCTGAAGCCATACAGAGTGCATCTCTGCCTCCTCAGAGCATATGCATCAACAGCAGTCACAGTCTTCCTCTTAGCGTACCCGGTGATGGCATCACGGATCACGTTCTGGTTCGTAGTAGGTGGTAGGACTGGGCATCGGTACTCGATACCTTTAAGACATTAACCAAAATAATTCCGTACCAAGTCGTATACAAACGTCTCCAGTTAAACAATATCTGCATTCAGTGCTTTTGCGACTGTGGTGTGATCCCAGACCGTCCTGTCTCTCCGCCGGATCAGCAGATTTTCTGTTACAGCTATCTCCAGAGCGGCAGTTCTCTTGGCGTACAGTGAGTTCAGCGTCTGCCCAGTAAGCGCAAGCTACACAGCTGCAGCAGCAGCCACCATCCCACACCATGCCTTCAAACGGTCCCAACAAATTCACACTGAAACCAACACAGCTCAACTCTGTTGTTAAATGCATTTATGAAAACTTGTGTGATGCTAACAGTTAGCCCTGTCAGTGTGTGTGTGTGTGTGTGTGTGTGTGTGTGTGTGTGTGTGTGTGTGGTTGGGCAGACTCTCACAACTTTCCTTGATATGAAGCTCAGTCTTAGCAGCATGAGATGTCACAACCTAAATTCAACAAAACATTCATGTCTAACAATGTTGGTTGCCAGCTGGGTTGTTTTAAGGAGATAAACAGAGGTGTTGTGTCAGTTTACTGGGTGCCATAAAACGGGTGTTGTAGCACACAAGTGTTGTTCTTTCGTGCTGGTCGGTTTTCTTCATTTGGCATAAAACAGCAGACTAAAACACTTGTAGGTGTATATGCTGCTCCGTCAGGTAAAACCTGAGTACAAGCTGCCACATTTTCAGGACTTTGGCATCGACCTGGTGCCAAAGCATAATTTTTTGTGGCATCCCCCTGCTCAGAGTGCAGATCTCCTCCATGTGGTAGGTGGCTTGTTGGTGGGGAAGAGGAGGTGCAGGGCAGGTTGTGTGTCCAGTGTGTAAACATGTTGGTAGTGAAACAAAGAAGAGTTGAATCTTACTCAGTTGTCTCTCCGGGCTGCCTTAGGAGGCGGCAAAGATGGTGGCAAAGATAACAAAAACGGGGACTAATTTTTCTCATAAGGTGCCTAGCATCTGCAGGTCCTCCAGTGTAAAATGAAGCCAGACTTTTCTATGGATGTCAGTTTTTGAGCCATGAAAAAGGGCAAAATGTGTTCTGCAACAGATGGTAAGGCTTGTTGTTTTTAGCAGGGACAATTGACGGTGTCATAAAAAAGTCTGTTTCCTTGTTAGGGTTTCTCTCCCGTGGATTCGTAGTGTCCCCGTTGGTGGTGAGGGATGGGGTTTGGTAAAGGTTTAGGTAGGGGAGAAACACATAATGAAACAGGTTTCCAACAGGAAAACAGGGTTCAGCACAACATCAGAAATGCCTTTTGCAATGTGATTTTGTTGAGGACTTGCTGCCCCTACCACCATGAGTAGTCAGCAGTCAAAGACAGTATAAAACAGTTGACAAAACAAGTTTTCCAACAATTATGAATCACTGTAACCATGAGAGGTCCTTGAGAGATATATGTGCACACAAAATCTTAGGCTGATTGGTCCCATAGTGAGATTACAGCCAATGAAATAGTGAATAATGTTTTGGTCTCTTTGTTGTCCGGGGTTACTCTCTGTATGAACGGAAATGTGTTGACAGTATGTTTTTGTATGTAGGCGGGTGCACTCATGTATGTGTGTGCACATTGTCAGTATCCTCCCACCCCTGAAAAAATAGGGCTCTTCTCAAAGCTATGGTGTAATTTAAACACAAATTCATGCTGCTTCTAACTGCAGAATATTATCCGTGTACCAACAATGACCAGTTTTCACACATCCACAGTGTATGTCCATCAGTGTGGATCAATGTGTGGATCAGAGTGTTTTCTGTTTGTTCGAGTCCCATTTGACTTGAGTTGTGTGAGTTTTCTCCTCTGCATCTCGCCCACACTGACTCTTGGATTAAATGCATCAGAGGAGGAATATGCACCTTGTTACAACCCTGCTGCAATACTACAGGCTTTTGGAAAAATCCATATCACACACACACACGTAAATGTACGCACTTGTGGATGAGGCTGCTTGTGTTTGGTGCTCTCTGGCTTTAGGTTTCCTCCCCCGTGTCCAGATCCATATGGTGTGTTATATGAGAGAGGGAGGGGGGGTAGAGACAGTTTAATGCACTTTAAATGAAACGTCTTGCTTCAAATGACACAGGAGAGTACATTGAACCACCCTGTAAATATGGACATCCTGCAGACAGTTGTGAGTGATCGTTGTTTGCATGATCATTTTTAAATAGGTCTACAATAAGAACTATAATGGCTCGAGTGTACATTCTTTTTTCATTCTTTTTTAACTGTGCATTCACACCGAGCGTCAAGATTACATACAAAGTCAATGCAAAGACGCGATTAGACGCAAATTCGTGCCGGGTGGCGCGATGGACGTGTCTAGCGCAACGCGATAGATGCGTAGGCACAGCACAATAGCCGCAAAATTCACGTCCATCGCCTCATCGCATGACGCTGTGCTGCGAAAGCCAATCAGCGTTGAGATTCTCCCGACATCATTGGCGTCATGACGTCAGCGATGTCTTGACTCCCTGACGACCAGTTGTTGACACAACAATAAACTGCTACTCACCGGAGACAGACGGACAGGCGCTCCGCAGCTGAAATGGAGCACCTGTAGTTGGTGTCCTGCCGGGAGATCCTGGCACCAACCCTCGCCAACAGGTCCTCAAACTGGGCCCCAGTCAGCCTGAAGTACCGCTGAAAGCGGCTATCATCCAGACGGAGTTCCTGGAGGAGGTGGTGAAACTCGCCGAGCTGGATGCTCTTCTGCAGGATAGAGTGAACCCAAAAATGACGCCGTTTGGCCCTCCGACGCATCTGGGACTTCCAGAGCAGGTACAAAGCAGCGATGGTGGAGGAGAGAATGGCGGGCCAGATGTTGTTATCTAGTGAAAATGGGCGGGCTCGCTACTCGCGCGACTGACGTGATAACGCAAATTAACAAAATGGTCCAGCGTCCAAACTCACGCGTTACGCGTGGCGCATTACTCACGTTATGCACGAGTAATTCACTTCACTCGCGTCCAGTGTGAACACACAGTAAGACTTCTGTCTTTCCTATCATCACATCAAGGCCTTATGTTACCTTACGTGCAGTGCAAACATAGTATTTCATTGTAATTTCCCCAAGAACTTCCCTGTAGCCATGGGAGACTGTTGCTTGCATAATCCTGTTTATAGATACTTATCTAAATTAAAAGTCGTCGTTGTTAAAACATTCATTTTTTGCATCATTTCTATTTCAGAATTCAAAGGGTTAAGGGGTCAAATTTTGACAGATGCACACTGGAAAAGGACATGGCATGTGAACAGAATTAAACTCAAGATCAGTAAAGAACAAGAAATGTCAGCGCAGAGAGTTTATTTTTACACACCTCATTACTGCAGCCTGCCTAAGAATCATCAGGGCACTATTTCAGAAAGCAGGCTCAACAAACTCTGAGCCTAATCCCGATCTCCAGGTTGACTGAGCCTGAGGTGAGAAACTCTGAGTTTTCAGTTCCAGAACAGCTGATCAGAATCAGTTCAATCAGCTCTGAGTATGTTCAGCCTGTGGAAAGTGCTTTCACGGTGAGCACTAAAAGACATCATCAGTGGAGTGCAGATAACATGATTCTCAGTGGCAGAAAGCAGAAAGCCACTTGTTTCATTCCAAGTGAACCTGAGATTTTAATGACTGCAAATGAAGACATGAAAAAAAAAAATATTACGTCAGCTGCAGCTAAACAGCGTGAGGTGTGATGGGAAAAGACTGCAGAGTGTGTTAATAGGTAATGTGAAGTGACGTTATGTAATATGATGAGTTAATGTGTCTAATCTACAGAAAATACAGACACACATACATACATTTTTATATCTTAAAAGTGTTCATATATT